AATCGTCGCAAGCGAAAATGCCAGTGGGCAGAGCCCGTTGCAGGTCGCCGTCATGACCAACCAAGTCGCGGCTGCGGGGTACCTCTTGCCGCTAACGAAGGCAGCGATGGAGGCCGATGCGTTCGATGCGTTGATCACGCGCTTGGCCGCGCAAACGTCGGTCGACATGATGCTTCAGGTGCTGGCGGGCAAAGCGACGATGAAGGACATCATGATGTACCAGCGCCGCCTCGCCATTCGATAGACCTCGTCAGAGGCAGCAGATCCCAACGCGGCGAACTTGCTTTCCCCTAAATTCGAGCTTGTACTTTGAATCGAACGACATGAATTTGAAAACATCTCGACTGGCGCCAATCAGAATGCATTTTTGCAACAATTCGCGTGAAGCTCACCAAAAGATCCATGTCATCCCGCCCGGGGCACTGCCGGCGACCACATGGTCGCTGGATTTCTACGCCGCTCGAATTTGTCGGGCACGGCAGTACGTTCTGCATGACGGACGCGATGCGAACAAGCGAATCTCTTCGTCGCGAGCGCAGTCTTATTCTGGCAAGACGTGATCGCAAAAATCTTTTTCCGGTGGCATTTTGAGGATTCAGGCTGCACTGAGGCCATCGTGCAGTGCTCCGCGCGAGGGATTACGCATGGTCAATAGGCCCGCGACGACCCAGGTCCTTCCTCGACACCTAGTCGCACGTCAGGTTTACGAGAGCAAGTTTATCGAACGCGCAAACTCGGCAGATTCGAACGTGGACAAACAATAGATTAGTAAGTATAGGATCCGATTACATCTTCGAAGGGAACCGAATCGTGCCGTCGTCGAGCGACGCGTTACTGGGCGCCGAGACGTTGGGGAGCAGCACGGGGCGGCCCGTCGCGTTCACACCGGCAAACGTGCTGTTGGCGAACGTGCCGTTGGCAGCCGTGCCGTTGGCGAACGTGCCGTTCCAGCTGACCAGCGTCACGTTGAAGGGAAAGACGATCGTCGGCTCCGAGACGTTGCCGGCCAGCGTCACGTTCGTAAAGGTCGCGTTGATGGCGCCAAAGGTGCCGTTGACCGCGACGAGCGTCACGTTGGGAGGCAAGAAGGAGCTGTTGGCCGGGAGAAGGACCGTCGCGTTGGTGACGTTGGTCTGGGCGACGGCGGCGACAGCAGAGAGGAGGAAAGCGACGGGGGCAAACATGATCGTGCTGCTTGGCGACAAATTGAAAAGTGGTGGGTGGGAGCCAATGCAGCTGAAGCAGCTGCCCAATCGCAAGCCGAGTGTCCCAAGCGGGACCCTCCAGCGTCGGCAAGCAGCTCCTTCGAGCGAGTCAAATATTCGATCCAAACCCAGCTGTGTTGAGATTGCCTTCGAACTTCGCTATATCATGCGGTCTGCGCCGTGGACTTCTTGCTTCGAACTTCGTCCTCAAGAACTCGGACGGTGGACATGCGAAGGGGCACGGCTGGTTCGTTGACTTCGGCGGTGAACCTAGCTGGCGTGGCGTAAAGACACACTGAGAGCTTCACAACGTAAAGGCTGCCTCTTGCCTCTACAGAAGCCGCTTTGACGCAAGGCGACGCAATGTCAACCGTCCTGGTCCGGCAACGTGCGGGGAGAAACAGGCGGAAATTCAGCGGGGCGCGTCACGCCTCCTGGATACAAGACAGGTGTCCTTCGATTCCGTGGGACTGAATGTGCGAAGCGATTCCGTGGCACCGAATGTGCGAAGCGACCAATTGAAGCGACCGACCAAGAGATCCGACAGAGCTCCAGTAGCTGCTCCAGTGGGATAGCTCTGGGGACACTAGTAGCTCGGTGTGCATTCGAGCACGACGTGCCTCGAAGCTCGTACTACCTTATTAGATGGCTGGTCAGTCCCACACGCATTGAACCTTCTCTGTGACCGGCCTTTGTTAGCTGCCTTTGTTACCCACGTCGTACGATGGCTGCAACAAGCACCGCACGATGTGCAACAGCCTTCCACGAGCTCCGCCTCGTGTCGTGCTCTGATTTGATTCTGAGCTCTTGTTGCTACCAGAACGTTCTCAAGCCGTATCGTCCTGCGATTCGCTGATCCCGCGAGCGAACAAGAACGGACTCGAATGCGTCCCGCTCCTCTCTCTCGTCAAGAACTAGGCGTACCCACCTGCTTGACACGACCGTCAAGGCAGCATCCGTACCCAAGCTCGTCACGCGAGCGTCGCTCACCCTTTTACAAAGTGCTCAACAACTCGGTCGCTTCAATGGTCGCGCACGGCGCAGTCGACCACGAGGCCGTAATGGTCGCTGATCTTGATGCCGCTCGCGTCCAGCGCATGTTCACCGAGAAGCGCCATGCTTATCCCTTGCCACTGCCCGCGCTTGATGAGGACGCGGTCGTAGCGCATGACCTCGTTGCGGTCGGCGACGCACACCGGGTTGTGGACGCCGTCAAAGGTCGCGCCGCGCACACCGGGGCACAGCTTCGGCCATGCGTCTTCGAAATCGGGCAGCGTTACGGCGAGCACGTCGTTCTCAAGCGGCCGGATGCGATCGCGGTGCCAATCACCCCACGCCTGCGTATCGTCAAAGTTGAAGTCGCCACAGAGCACCGCGTTGGCGTGCGGCAGGAAGACGGCAGCGCAGGCGCGAAGCTGCGCCTCACGCATCGCCGGCGCGTTGAGCGACTCGAGGTGGACCGTGCCAATGATGACGTCAGGCAGCGTGCCCATGTGCCCTTGGACAACGCATGTGACCATGGAGCGCCCCATCTTGGAGGGCAGCGGCGTGTTGGCAAACTTTGGGCGGAGCGCTCGCCGCGCCAGGATGAGGCAGCCGTAGGGGGACACGGGCTCGGGGCTGTGTTCGTACGTGGACTGCAGCAGCGCCGAGGCCTCGATCGCTGAAAGCACCTGCGGCGTAACCTCCTGGAGGCACACGACGTCCGGGTTGAGCGCCAGTACGTCCACGATGAGTGCATCGAAGCGCTGTGCCTGGGCTCTATCGTCGAACCACATGTTCCAAGTCACGAGACGGAGGCGCGTCGGGTCTGACGGCGTCGATGCAGCCATCGCGGCTGTCCATTGCGGGGTGTCAATGGGAAAGGTCGGCGGCGTCAGATCCAAATGCGGCAGCTCCTGAATGCTACCGTCACCGCGCATGAAGTAGCGCGAGTGGTCGGCCCGCGTGAAGATCGTGCGCGATGGCTTGCGCGTTGCGGGGTGTCAATGGGAAAGGTCGGCGGCGTCAGATCCAAATGCGGCAGCTCCTGAATGCTACCGTCACCGCGCATGAAGTAGCGCGAGTGGTCGGCCCGCGTGAAGATCGTGCGCGATGGCTTGCGCGTTGCCTTGGCGTGGGCCAACGCAGCCGTCGATGAGCTGGCCATGCGAAACAAGAGCGAACGCCAGTGGGTACAAGCTTTGAATCTCCCTATGGAAAGTGTTGGTAAGATTGTAAAGAAGGATTGGTCTGCGACCTTGCCGAGCCAACTAGGATGGAAAGATGAGCTAATCGCATACAAAATATCGATACGACTAGAGACATCAACACGGAGAGACCTCGCGATGCGCCAAAGTACTGGCTTCCGAGTCCCGAGCGATGGCACCGTCTTTGGCCAGGTTGAAGTTGGCAAATTGCACTTTGAAGAGTGATGGACACACGACCAGATTCGCCCCGTCGCTTTTCGGTATCCCTTCGAATCGGACTGCTGTAGATAGTATAATTGTCCTAGACAGCAATCCACAAACGACTCGTGATGAATAGGCGATGGATACGTTGGCTCGAGACAGGCAGGCAATCGCATCCGGGTACCCATCTCTATCCTGGATCCTGGCCTTTCGTGAGCCAATCACATGCCGTCTGGTCGATTTAGCCAACGCGGATTGGCCGAAACGGTATCTTTCGACCGACGCCTCGCTGCAAGGTGAAAAATGCGATGGCTGTGGCTCGTGCTAGGGCTCGTGGCGCGTCCCGTGACGCCGCAGCACCTGCAGACAACGCTTCACTGGACCAACACGACCTTGGTTACCGCCTCCGGAGCGACTGACGCCGTCCGCGCCATTCTAGCGTCCGCACTGAGTCTCAAGCCCGCCGAGCTGCAAGTCCGCAGCTTGTCGATAGTCGCTTCCAGCGATGTGGCGATGGTCCTATGGCTTCCTTACACACAATCGACGATGTCGGCACTGCAGAGGCGCTTTCAGATCGCTGTCACAGGGCACATTGTCCACGTTCTCGCGACCGACTACATCGAGAGCGACGCGCCGCCGTCAGGGCAGTGCCTCAGCGCCACGTCTGTCGTGCCGCTCGATTTATTTTTGAGTAACACTGCGTGGCCAAGGTTCCAAGCGGACCTCGAGGCGTACGTTCGCGCACCTGTAGCACTGGTCGACGTGACCAGCGACAGCTTTACGCTTTGTGCATGGACCTCGCATGCGGCGGCAGCGGCACTGACCGAGTACCTTTTGTCGCAAACGACGGGCCTTGCCTCCGTACAACCGACCCCATCGAATATTTCGATGGAAATTGCACCGCCGACAGCGACCGAGGTCGACTGCCAAGGGTCGTTTTGTGTCGTCTTGCACTGGTCCGTGCCGAGCGCGCTGGTCCTGACGGCGCGGACCGAGCTCGCGCTATCGACAACACTGGTCGACGCCAACGCCTCACACGTGCGCGACGGCGACACGTGGCTCTTGTCGACCACCGACGATGACGCGACTATGGGGTTTCGCTGCGTCTTGGCGTCGGCCAGCGGACCAATCGAATTGACCTGGGCAGCAGAAAGACTATCAAGCGACGACGACAGCGCGTCATCGGTGCTGACGCCATTGACCCTGCCCGACAACTGGAGCGCGCACTTGTCGTCGTCCGAGTACCACGGCAGGTTTGTCCAAATGACGATTGCGCTGTCACCGCCAACGGACAAGGACGCGTGTGACGCGGCTTGCGTCGCGCTGGATGCGTGCTTGGCCGCACTCGTCGACTGGCCGCTGCTGGCGGCCGACCTGCGCGCCATGGACCCGAGCTCGCGCGCCGACCTCTCGGGCATGTTTTCCTCTTGCGATGCCGCGTCGTGGCACCAATGGTACCTCTCCAATGGGCACTCTGTCGGCGCCTCCGTTGCATTTCTCTTGACGCCGGCGCAGCAGTCGCTCGACGTCTTGCAAGCGCCAGGAACACTCTTCGTGCATTGCAATGGTACATCCAGCGAGGTGTCGTATGCAAATGGAGAGAGTCTGGGACGAAAAGTGGCCGCTGTAATCGCCGAGTGCACCCGCTGTGACGAGGTGACGACCGACGCACTCACGCTGACATACCCAAGCACGTACCTCGGGCCGACGCTGTGGCTATCCTCGGACTCGGTGGTCGTGCACTCAACGCCCGCGTCTTTGGTTGCGATCGCTCTTCCTAGATAATATAGACTTAACGTTCTTGGCTCTTGAATCACGATCGCTCTAAAAAGTGGAGTGCTCGACAAATGCGATACTCCACCACCGCAGACACTATTATATTGGTGTCGACTATTTTTTATAAACATTTTTAGCTATGGAAAAAAGTATTGTTTGCGTGGTGAGCCGTATGGGCGTGTTGTGGTTGTACAAGTAGCATGGACTACAAGAGCTTGGCTTCAATGTCTTTGACAAGGCTCTCCGAGACTTCCCACAGCTGACGAGCGAGATCGACGTCGGTTGCTTTCGGGTGCAGGTCGGTGCTGAGCTGGCAGTCGGCGTAGTAGCCACCAGGCTGCACGGCCGGGTCCAAGGCAGCCACGATCGTCGTCGCCGCGCCCTGCGCAATCGACTTCATCGGCTCTCGGAACGCGCGCATCAACATGCCCGAGCGCAAGCCTGAGAGACTGCGCACGGTGCTGGCAATGCCCAGGTGGCGGGTGAGCTCGGTCGCGACAATGACGCCGGGATGCAGCGCAACAGAAATGACGTGCTGGCTTGCGTACCGCTTGTTGAGTTCGGTCGAGAAGAGGACGTTGGCGAGCTTGGCCATACCGTAGCGCTCCCACTCGTAGTACGATTTGTCGCCGCTGAGGTCGTTTAGGAAAATACCTTCATCTGGCGCGTAGAGGTTCTGGCCCATGGACGAGAGGTTCACGACGCGCGCGGGTGCGTCGGCCGTGCCCGTCCACTGGAGCGCTGGCAAAAGCAGCTTGGTCAAGTAGAAATGACCAATGTGGTTGACACCAAACTGCATCTCGAGCCCGTCGGTTGTCGTGGCCTTGGGACAGGCCATGACACCGGCGTTGTTGATGAGGACGTCCAGCCGCTCAAACTTGGCGCTGAACGCAGTCACAAACGCCTTGATGGACGCCAATGACGCCAAGTCGAGCTCCAAGAACGACACCTTGGCGTCATGCTGCGCTTTGAGAATCGAAGCCACAGCTGCGTCACCCTTCGAGGCGGAGCGACAGGCGATGACGACGGTGGCCCCCTTGGCCGCGAGGACACGCGCTGTCTCGAGGCCGAGGCCCGTGTTGGCGCCCGTGATGAGCACGACCTTGTCCTTGCAGCGAGGTGCGAAAGCGTCAGCGACTTGGTCGGCGGTTGTCGTGGCGTTGAAAGCGCCGTCAGGCGACGCTGAGGAAGCTTGGTTGCCCATTGCGCGGCTACGATCTAATTTCGAAATGAGCTTCAAGTGTGGTCGTTGGGCCACGACGGTGGATCGCATGTGATTGGGTAGTTTCCACGAATCAACGCAGTCGATAGTTGAGCACCCGCCAATCACGTGGCAGGCAGCAAGCGCCATTTTGGACGTTTGGGCGACGTTGACGAACGAACGAATCGTGATATTATTGAAAAGCAGAATGCGCGGGAAGCCATGAAGATATGGTGCCGACGACTTGGTCGACTGTGATGCAGCTCGTAGCTGCTCCCACGCACCAAGTGGTCGGTATAGATCACTGGTCACCGATCGTGCTGCACCGACGACAGCGCAGTCGCAGCGTCTCTCGAAGGCCTTGATAATCTGCAAAGTAGTGCTCTAGACACTTGTTGTATATTGAGGAATTACGGAGTGCGTCGTCAAGGCCTTGTCCGGGGCCGCAAGCACCCGCAGGCGACTACAGAGGGGCATCACGCCGCCGCCTGTGCAACCACGGGCCAACGAGCCCGTGATTAAGGCGATCGCTTGTCTCGTTGCTGCAAAGACTTCGTATCTCGAAGATAGAACCGTTAAATGCACTTTCGTTCATACCGTTGAATACGCTATAACGTGCACTTGTCATTCTCTTTAGCTGACCAATGGCCTCACTCATAGAATCGAGCACGCCATCTGATTGGCTGACAATTGGATCTTGCCATCCCTGTGTCATTGCTCGAATGATCGCCTGGGAGGCAACCGTGCAGGCCGTGGCGTTCTATCGCTCGCTCCATGACGACGTCCGGATCCCGGCACGCTACGTCGTCCCGTCCAAAGCGCCGTGGCCGACGTCCATGCACGGGCGAATGCTCGGGAACACGTTCAGCAGACTCCGGACCACACTCCATGCATACGAGCCTGACAAATTTGCTGACCTCGAAGCGCTTGGCTTTGACTGGTCGCTAGCTCGAGGAATGCACCGCGTCCTCACGTACGACGAGCGCGGTGTCCGTCAACTCCGTCACGTGCCTCTGACGGCGCTCGTTGCAGCGCTGCAAGCGTTCCACAGCACCAATGGCCACCTCGACATCCCCCGGGACTTTACGGTCCCGACGCAACACCAGCTATGGCCGCCGGACGCAGCCAATGTCGCTCTCTTCTACGCGCCGCAGACGCTCCGAGCTCTCTTTTACGAGCTCTCGGACCAGGATGCGACGGTTTTGCATGGCCTTGGACTTTTCACCGAGTTGCCGCATTGGGCTGACGCTCGGTTGCTTCTCTCGACCTTCAAGAGCCTCGTCCAGATGAATACGGTGCCACTCGATTTTGCAGTGCCAGCCACTTCGGATTGGCCGACGCAGTACCACGGCTTTGGGCTGGGCGAGCTCGCTTGGTATCTCGGCCTCAAGCGTGCGACGCTGCCACACGACAAGCGCAGCCAGCTACTTGATATTGGCATGGACTTCAACACGCCGGCAACGTGGGCAGCTATCGTGCGCCGTCTCGAGGCTGGCGGCGCCGACGTCCCAGCAGAAGATGTCGTTCCAGAAGACGGGTTCCCGCCCCCGCGCCTGGACTACTGGACGTCCAAGCTTCGGCGGGCGCAGTTGCTGCACCTGCTGCCAAAGGCGACAATGGACGCCGTCTCAGCGATGGACGCTCGCCACTCGACGGCCACCGCCCGACCTGCACCGCTCGACAGAGCCACGGTAGCTCCGACGCCGTCCAAACGCCGGGCATCGACTTCACGTGATGAGCGCTGCAAACGAGCTCGGGTCGGCGGTGAGCTCGACGAGTCGATTCGGACGGGACCGATCACCCGACGCAAGCAGGCGGCAGTGGACGCGCTTGGCGTTGACGGTGTAACCTCGAGTGACGATGAGACCGACAGCTCGCCACCCAAGCCGCGTTCTGTTGAGTCAGATGGCGAGGTCAGCAGCGATGACAGCGAGAGCACGGCCAGCGCATCGTCCTCCGATGACAACGACACTCCGTTGGTCGGTCGTGCTGGGCGCAAGAAGCAACGACGTGTGTGGACGTGGGAAGACAAGATCGACGCGCTCAGTGTGTTCCGCAATGAGCATGGGCATGTCAACGTTCAAAAAAGATTTCGCGTGCCGGCGTCGCCAGCGTACTCGCCGCACTTGCACGGCATGGCGCTTGGTACGATCGTTGGCAATATCCGCAGTCAATGTATTTTGCTCACGCCCGCGCGCCTCCGCGACCTCGACGCCCTCGGCTTCCGTTGGCGACTCAACGCGGGAGGTTACAGCTACTCGACTTGCGAGATGCACCCGACCAACCCTTATCTTCTGCACCTCCAATTTGTGTCGTGGCAGGACCAGATCGAAGCTCTCCTCACGTACCGACGTCTCCACGGCGACCTCGAGATACCCGACGACTTTTTTGTGCCATCGTCTGCCGAATGGCCGAGTGCGGCGCACAACATCGAGCTCAAGTGCGTCCTTCCAGTGCTGCGCATGCACGTCTACGAGCTTCCACCACACTATGAAGATCGTTTGCATCGACCCGAGTCGGGTCTCATGCCCGACATTCCCAACTTTGATACGTTTCTGCGTCTGGTCGAGATCTACCGCGACACGGTGGGCAGCGGCGCCGTCGCCCGGGACTTTGATGTGCCACCAAGTGGCGGCAACTGGATCGACGCGTCGGCGCGGCTTGAGCCTCGGCGACCTCGCGTGGT